CTGGTGTAATTATGTCAAACCTGACCACTATGCCTAAGCCTCTAGAGACTTGATCACTGCCCATACCATTGTTTTGGGGTAATTTCTCATTACTTGAGCCTCTAGTAGGCCTTAAGGCCTGGTGCCCCTGGTTGTTAGACCCTATCCCTATAGAATCAAAACTACTCCTTGACTCAGAGAGAACCCTTAGGCCTAGACTAACATATGGACCATGACACATGCACATGTCTTGACCACCATTAAGATATGTTAGCCCTTGGTCTCAACACATGCTTTGACTAGCATCGACACAGCTAGCTCGTTATACTGGTAATTCTCTTAAACAACATCGATACATGCTGGGCTGTGCACCATGTAAGGGTATCTTGGGCTCGGGTTGTGCACCAAGCACACCACAACTAGGTAATAGGTGGGTTCAAGCAAATCTTTATATTTTAATATACCAATGCTATTTTTATAGATTGTAAATTCATATAAGTGCTCACCAACGCTTGCACTTAAGGCTGGCTCAATTTTACTAAACTTGAACATTGTGTGTAAGCCTCTTGAGTCTTTATCATTGCCAATACCACTGTTCTAAGCTAGTTGCTTGTAACCTGGGCCTTCAGTAGGCCTCAAGTCCTAGTTTTCTTTGCTATCGAACCTTGTCTTCCTAGAACTAAAACTACTCTTCAACTCAGAGAGAACCATTGGGTCGGACCAACATGCAAACTGTGGACATGCACTTGTCTTGACTACCATTAAAAAATGTTAGCCCTTAGTCTTGGCACATGTTGGCCTTTTATATGGGTAGTTCCCTCAAACACCATTGGTACATACTGGGCTGCACACCACATGAGAGTATCCTAGGCCTAGGTCGTATACTATGCTCACCATAACTAGGTAGTAGGTGGGTTCAGGCACATCTTCATATTTCTATCATGCTAATGCTATTTTTATGGCTTGTAAATTCAAAATCGCTCACCAGTACCCATACTTGAGGCTAGCTCAATTATGCCAAACTAAAACATTGTGCCTGAGACTTTGAAGTTTTGATCACTGCCAATACCACTATTCTAGACTAGTTCCCTGTGACCTGGGCCTCTAATAGGCCTCAAGGTTTGGTCCCCTTGGTTATTGGGCCTTGTCCCCTTAGAATCGAAACTAGTTTTGACTTAAAAAGAACCTCTAGTCCTAGACCAACATACAGACTATGACATATGCATATTCCTCGACCACCATCGAGACATGTTGTTCCTTGCTCTTGGTACATGCTTTGACCACCATCTATACATGTTAGCCTTTTGTGTGGTTGTTCTTTCGAACACCATTTGTACATCTGGGTCATGCATCATGCGAGGGTATCCTAGGCTTGAGCTGGCACCATGTGCACCACGATCAGATAGTAGGTGGGTTCAGACACATCTTTATATTTCTACCATGCCAATACCATTTTTATGGCTTGTAAATTCATATAACTACTCACTAGCACTTATACTAAGGCTGGCTTATTTTTGCTGAACCTAAACATAATGGGTAAGCCTCTTGAGTCTTGATCATTACCAATACCACTTTCTGGGTTAGTTCCCATGACCTAAGCCTCTAGTAAACCTCAAGGCTTAGTCTTCCTAGCTATTAGACCCTATCCCTCTAGAACCAAAATTGATCTTTGACTCAGAGAGAACCTTTGGGCCTAGACTTACATATGGATCATGGCATATGCACATGCCCTAACTATTGTCAAGACAAGTTGGCCCTCGGTGTTGACACATGTTGGCCCTTTGTGTGGGTAGTTTCCTTGAACACCATTGGTACATGTTGGGCTACACATCACATGAGGTATTTTTGGCCTGAACTATGCACCATGTGCACCATGATCGAGTAACAGGTGGGTTCAGGCACATCTTCATATTTTTGTCATGCCAATGCCATTTTAATGGCTTAAAAATTCATATAATGATCTCCTAAGCCTTTATATGAAGTTTCATGACAAGATGACTCATTTTTTATTTTTTATTTTTTATTTTTTATGATTTTTAAAATTTTTTATGGTTTAACAATTTTTAAAAATTTTTAGGAGTTTTGGCCTCAAATTTGGTATATATGATCCTTGTATTTTTGTTGGCACCTACAAAAAAATTCAGCTAAAAAATCAAAGTGTAAACGATTTTGTGGCCATTTAAAAAAGCATCCCCATTTCAAACACTTGAATGGCTATTGGCTACAAACTTATAAAAACTTTTATACTTTTTAAGGGGGTGTGAGTAGTTAAGGTTGCTTGGGGATAAAAGGTTCGTACAAGTGCCAAGGACCAACACCTATTGCACGTTATGTGCACAAACCCCCCAGCCCCCTCCCTAAATCATTAGAACCCCCAATGCCATCAATTAGGTTCTCCAACGATGCTCTGACAATGATGCCGTAAGCAAAAAAATATGGCACCAGCACATGCCTGAGCCCAACATGTCCACTATGGCCTAGAATTGAACTTTGACCAAGGCATTGACCATCATTGACACATGTTGGTGCATGGTACAAGTATATGCCTTGACCATCATCAGCATAAGCTGACCTTTGGTACAAGAGCATGGTACACTATTTGAACTTATTCGATAAATAGATTCATTTTTTAGATCTCTTACTTATTAATTTTCAAAATATTAATAAATTAGAATTACGTTATTTCGAATTAGCTTGTACGAATAGAAACAGTTATTTTGTGATAAAAAAAAATGTCATAACGTTTTGAAATAAATAATTATCAAACAATTATAACTATTTATACTGATCAGGCCAATAGATTTATTTTTTAAATATGTTATTTATTAATTTTTAAAATATTAATAAATTAGCATTACTTTATTCTGAATAAAACTGTATCAATAAAAATAATTATTTTATAACAAAACAAATGATCATAACGATTTGAAAAAATAATTGTTCAAACTGTTATAATTATTTGAACTATTTGGTAAACAAATTTATTTTTTAAATCTGTTAGTAATTTTTCAAATATTAATAAATTTATTTTATTTTATTTCAAACAAACTTGTATGAACAAAAACATTTGTTTTATGACAAAATAAAATGTCATAACGATTTGAAATAGATAATTATTCATATAGCCTTAACTATTTGAATTGGTTCGAAAATTAAATTTATTTTTTAAATCTCTTAGTTATTAATTTTCATAATATTATTATATTAATACTATTTTATTCCAAATAAGCTTGTATGAACATAAATAATTATTTTATGATAAAACAAAAGGTTATAATGATTTGAAATATATAATTGTTTAAATAGTCATAATAATTTGAACTGATTTAATAAGCATATTTATTTTTTAAATCTACTACTTATTAATTTTTGAAATAATAATAAATTACTATTATTTAATTTTGAATAAACTGGTACAATGAAAATTTATTATTTTATGATAAAACAAAAATTAATAATAATTTAAAATAGATAATTATTCAAAGAGCCATAATTATTTGAACTGATTTCATAAACTAATTTATTTTTCAAATCTCCAACTTCTCAATTTTTGTAATATTAATAAAATAATATTATTTTATTTTGGACAAGTTTTTATGAACTGAAACAATTGTTTTATGATAAAATAAAATATCATAATGATTTTAAATAGATAATTATTCAAATATTCATAACTATTTGAACTTGTCCGGTAAATAAATTTATTTTTTAAAATTTCTTGGTTATTAATTTTCTATATGTTAATAAAATAGTATTATTTTACTTCAAATATGAACTGAAACAATTATTTTATAACTAATTAAAAGTTGGAATGATTTGAAATTTTAATTGTTCTAATAGTCTTAAATATTTAAACTGGTTCGATAAACACATTTATTTTTTAAATCTCTTATTAATTTTTAGAATATTATTAGTTTAACAATATTTTACTCCGAATAAGCTTGTACAAACAAAAACAATTGTTTTATAACAAAACAAAGATCATAACAATTTGAGATAGATAATTATTCAAAGAGTCATAATTATTTAAACTGGTTTAGTAAACAGATTTAGTTTTTAAGTCTCTTAATAATTTTTGAAATATTAATAAATTAGTTTTATTTTATTCTAAATAATTTTATATGAATAAAAATAATTATTTTATGATAAAACAAAATATCAAAGCGATTTGAAATATATAATAGTTCAAATGGTTATGACTATTTGAACTTGTTTGATAAACAGATTTGTTTTTTAAATCTCTAACTTATTAATTTTTAAAATATTAATAAATTAACATTATTATATTTCGAATAAACTTGTATGAATAAAAATAGTTGTTTTATGATAAAGCACAAGATCAGAACGATTTAAAATAAATAATATTTAAATAGTCATAACTATTTGAGCTCGTTCAGTAAACAGATTTAATTCTTAAATCTTTAATTTATTAATTTTTTAAATTTTAATAAATTAATATTATTTTATTCCAAATAAGCATTTATGAATATAAAAAATTGGTTTATAACAAAGTAGATGGTTATAACGATTTAAAATATATTATTATTCAAATAGTCATAATTATTTGAATAAATTCAGAACACAACATCTTTTGAAATCTAACAAAGTTTGCCTAAATTGATTGTTTTTCCCTTTGTCTTATTTGATTTTTGTTTTAATTTAGCTGTACAAAAGAGAGCACAAACTTGAAACCACATATATCTAGGTGGTAACCAAGTTGATCCCCGCGAGATGATATATTTTTCTTGGTAAGAAGGAAAAAAAGGTAAATGAAATTAAATTTGATGTTACAAAACAATTTAATTTATTAATTTTCCTCATCAAAAAGGCTAAGTGTTTCCAAGTTTCTACCACTAACTTATTAATTAATGAATTTATGTCGTTTAGACATTTGGAAAATACCATGCTGAAAGTGAAAAAAAAGGTCAAAAACCTGAAACTACTTATATCTACCACTTAGTTTTTTTTATTAAAAGAGTCAAAGGTGTTTCTACAAGTCTCGAGAAGTGGGCAAGCGAACCTCACCGTTTCCTACCAATATATTAATTTTCCTCCTTGTATAAGATATATTAGGCTTGTTTGGTGACTTCCATAGATTCTCTGTTTTCTTGGTCGCACATTTCCTCTCTCGCTTCATCTTTTATTTAATTTTGATGTTGACTTGTACGCATAAACTATATGTATAGTGCAATTTCCTTTTGTTAGTCACGGCTAATCGAGGAGTTGTTTGCTAAAATGGCCGCAACCAAAGATGAGAAAGAGGGAGCAAAAGACAAATTAAAGACTGATGGAGTGATTACCGCGGTTTATAAAGTTAATCTGCACCGCCGGCAATGCCCATGCGAGATAAAGAAGCCTCTTATGAAGACTCAAGGTACGCACGATATACAGACACTTTTCTATAAGGATTTTTCTGTGGCGCACGAGAAATGGGAGACGAAATTAACTTTTTACGAAAAGAAAAAACAATAATAATAATAATAATAAAAAGCCGATCATGAATCATGAAGTAGTTTGCATGCTGCTCTGGTGCAGGAGTTCATAGCGTGGAAATCGTGATTGAAAAAGGTGAAATTAAGGTTAAGGGCGTGATTGATGCAATAAAAATCCACAAGTTGATAGAAAAACTGAGTAAGAAAAAGGTAGAGTTAGTATCACCTCTGATGAAGATCACAGACAAGGAGAAAGCTGCTGCAGCAAAGAAGAAAGTGAAGGAAACTAAAGAGGTGATGCATGTTCATTTCAAATGCTACAAATACAAATCACCAAATATATATTAATTAGGGGGCATTGCAAAAACGGGTGTTTTAATAGAAGTATTTATTATTTAGTATTATGATAAAAAAAATTAGTAAAAGGAAAAATATTTATATGTAAAATTAATAAAAAAAATTAAAATTACTTTTATGATCTCAATTTTAAAAAAATTACATAAATTGTAAGGTAATTAAGTGTACACATATTTTGATTAAATATACATATTATATATATATATGTGTGTTATAATCATATGTAATCTTGAACTACCATCATTAAACACTAAGATTTAAGATCATAAATGTATTATTTATTTATTTTATATTTTGTTATTTTCCTTTTCTTTAATTATTTTTTCAAAAGAAAAATATTATGATGGTTAAATGGTATAAAAACTAAATGATGTTAGGATTCTGGTAATATAATTGTTGGGTTCTGCTTTATTAATAATATTCCATTAATCTCCATATGAGTGATGGATATTAAATATAGTCTTAATAAATTAAGTTTAATATTTCATTATTATTTTTTATATAGTAAAATATGACATGTATTTAAATTTCAAATGTTGATGATAATTAATTGTATTATGATTTTTAATTCCACCTCTTTATATCTTCTCATTAAAAAATTGACCCTATGCCAAACAGGACCAAAAACTAGTTTTGATACTCTTATTATTATTTATTAAATTTGGTACTCGTAGAAGTATGAAATTGGTGAAATTATTCTGTTCAATTATTTGAAGATTCAAGGCTGATTTAAAAAGATTAATTATCTGTGTCATTAATTTATATCAACAACGTTAACATTTTTTATATTTGTTGATGGAAAAAATAATTTTCCGCCAAGGGAAATGATTCTATTTGAACGTATGCTTTAAATTACGAGTTCAACTAAATGTGCTGTTGAAATTTTAATAATAAAATAATAGTAAATGGATGAGTCATGAGTCTGACTCGACTTTCAAAACCAACCACCCAAAAACTCAAGTAACCCATGAGTAAAGATCACATGCGCGACACTTCTTTCTTGTATATTACATAATTGCCATTTTGAAATGCATAATATTGTTTTTTCTTTCTAATATTTTGCAGGACATATATAAAACTATATGTTACCATCTTTTGATTCATTAAGAAATTAAATTTAAATAAAAATATAATGAGAATAATTATTATTTATTTTTTAACTTGAAATAATTTTCATATGTTAGAAATTTAAAATTTGTAGTTCTATTATATGTTATAAAATTAAAAAAATTATCAAATATATTGATGCTGAAGTTTTTAAACTCTATAAATAAAATTAAAATAAAAACACATATCTTTTAAGGTATATCTAAAAGAGTATAAAAAATTTTAATTAAAAATAAAAATAGAATATGTGTTAAATTTTTAATATTGTTTATAAAATTAAAAATTTACACTTACAATATGTCAAATGCTAACTCAAAATTAAATGTAATAGTAATTTATTTACTTAGTTTATAACTAAGCATTCTAAAAAATTATCATCTGCAGCCAATTTTACGCACTACGTCAGTGAAGATGCATCTACACTGTGACAAGTGTGACCAAGATATACGGAAGAAGTTATTGAAGCACAAAGGTAGCACAGTTTCCATTATTAATGTCAGCTCAACGAGTTTTTGCGTGGTTTCAAATTTAATTGCAAGTTTCTTGATCATAAATGCAGGTATCTACAGTGTTAAGACTGATATGAAAGCACAAACTCTAACAGTGCAAGGAACTATCGAGTCCGATAAATTGTTGCCATACATAAGAAAATAATTGCATAAAACATGCAGAGATTATAAGCTCAAAAACAGAGAAAAAGGCAGAAAAGAAGGAAAATCCAAAAGCTGAAGCCAAAAAGGATGATTTGAAAGCTGGGACCGAATCTAGTGAAAAAATTGAAGTTACGGAATTCAAGCAAGAGGTAAAAGTGAAGCTCAAAAGTAAAGATGGCAATGTTCCATATGTTGTTCACTATGTCTACGCTCCCCAGTTCTTTAGTGATGAAAATCCGAAGGCATGTTCTATTATGTAAAAGATAATAAAGCTTTTGTCGTATCGATTTTAGATCTGTCAGACATAAAAAAATTTAAAATCTAAAAAAATAAAAAAAAATTATCATCAATCTTTTTTAAAGTATAATTGACCATCAAAAAATTTATTTTTTTAATAAAACTACAAAAGCATATTTAAAGTTTATCAAAAAAATAAATTTTAGTCTACGAAAATTAAGTTGGGTTTAAAAGTCAGTTACGTGTGAGGAAAGATTAACACCTTTACAAAGCCCATAAATTAGTACTATTTAATCATGCGTTATTTTTTATGTTAGATAAAATGGTTTTGATTTAAAATTTAATAGTAATTCCCTTCTTATTATTTTTTTTAAAAAAAATTTAATTTTATCAAAATTCTTTATTTAAGAGTATTAAAGAAATCTTTAAGTTAAAAGATTATCTTAAAATTTTTTAACATTTAGGTAGAACTTTAAAGATAATGCTTTTAACTGATATTTACCATGACATTCTTTGAAAATGTAAATAACATTCTTTGGAAAGAAAATTTGTTAATAACTCTCCAATATCTAGGTAGAATATCAAGAACTGTCCTCCTTGGGATGTTATTTTTGTTTTATTTCATAACTTCACATTTTGAAAGTAAGTAAAAAACATTTTGTGCAAAAAAAGTAAATTATGATACTACAAGTAGCAAACGAATATGCAAAATGAATGCAAACAATAACAAATAAACGCATTTAAGCTAATGGATGCTATGTATAATGAATGAAATGCAAATTCGAAATTGAATTCTTAAATATAATGAGACCACCTTGACTGCTAACATTTAGGCAGATCTTATGTACGATTATTTATATTTAAGATCCCATTTTATTATTATTCTTTTTTTATTTATTGATTTTAATCTCATTGTTAAAGCAAATTAAGGACTAGCATGAAAACTTAATGGAGTAAAGTTTCCTAAATACCTCATCGTTTAGGTGGTATTCGAGAATAAATTACTCAACTTGAAATTTACACATGTATCCTTAAAGTTTCAGAATAGTTTTGAGTATAGGTATGGATCGAGATTTTAAAGTTTGGATGACTTACGGGGAATGATTAGAGATTGTGTACCAAATTTGGCGTTTTAAATGTTTTGGATTTTAAGGTTTTGAATTTTAGGGTTTGAGATTTTAGATTTTAAGGTTAAAGTTTCGACTTTCAAAGTTTGGGAGTTTAGGTTTTTGATTTTAGGGTTTGATTTTAGGATTTAAGGTTTGGAGTTTTGATTTTATGGTTTGGAGATTTTATAATTTTGATTTTAGAGTTTGAGGTTTAAGATTTTGATTTTACGGTTTGGAAGGTGTAGGGTTTTTATTTTAGTGTTTGAGGTTTAGGGTTTTAGTTTTAGGGTTTCAAGCGTTTGGGTTTAAAAATTTAGGGTTTCAATTTTAGAGTTTTGAAATTTAGGGTTTCGATTTTAAGATTTAAAGAAAATGCAAATATCTCTAAAAATCTTCAACATCTAAGAACAAGTTTGATTTTTATAATTTTTGAAAATTAATTAAAATTTTTTCATTTATTTCTTTTTTTATGAACATTTATTTATTTATTTATTTATTTATTTATTATTATTATTATTATTATTATTTATTATTATTATTATTATCCTTTTATACTTTTTAAAATTTTTTTAATAATTTTTCAATATCTAAGCAGAATTATTTTTAAAATAATATTTTTTATTCCCTCAAACATCTAAGCAGGAAAAAAATTTATTACTCTATTTCATAAGCATTATATATATATATTATTTTGTTAAGGTTTATTTTTAAAATAACATAATTAAAAAAATTAATCATATATTTCATTACTCATTTTATCTTTATTTTTTATTTTTGTATTTTTTCATTTTTATTATTATTAAAAATAATTAAATATTTATTCTAACAAATTTAAAAATTTAATCATGCATAAATACTAAAAGTAAAACTCAAAATAACAAAAATAATAATATAAATAATAAAAAATAATAAAAAAATAAATCGGACCGGTCAACGATCCATTCAACGTCGATCTGGGCCGATCTGATTGGTTCAGCAGTGCGGTAGTTCAGACCAAATTTGTAGTGGATTAGTACCGGTTCAACTAGACTAGTCTTAGGCTGAGGCAAAAGCAGGTCGCAAGTTTGGTTACGCGAATCTTGGGTTAGATCCGAGTCCACACGCGGATTCTTCCTTACTCGAACGACATTGTTTTACTTTTTTTTTATATATATATATATAAGGCCTTTTTTTTAACTCATTTCTACCTTTTTGCCAAAAAAATTAGAGTTCAAAAAAATCTCTTTGGCCTTGCCAGAATCCGACGCTATGCCATCATGCCGCCAACTACTAAGATCGCCATCAATGATCGCTGTTAGTGGTCGTTGGTGACTGAAAAATGCCAAAATACTTCAAGAAATTTTTTTCAATGTCTTCTTTCCAGATCTGATCTCTTTTTCACCGAGAACAACCTTGATCAGCGTAAATCAGGGCTTAAAGTTTTGATCTTTTTTTTTCTCTTTTTTTTAATAAACTAAAAATGATGTATTTTTTCCTTTTACAGGTACGTTTTTAGCGCTAGGTTCCTCACCAAATCGGTGAGGACTATGTGTGTTTTTTTCTTGTTGCCTTATTCTTTTTTTTTTTTTTTGTATTCTAGCTTGGGTGTTTGTGTGGGTAAAGGTTTGGGTGTCAAATGTGCTAAGAGGTTCTTGATGTATGAAAGGTGTATGCAAGCTAGGAATGGGTAAAGGTCAGTAGGAGGCATTAGGGTAGAAAGCTGTGATAGGGTTCGGCTACGAAGGTGCATTGGTGTTAGAGGAATGCTAAGTGTTTTGATGTAAGCTGAAGCTTTAGAGGCGAGAAAGATTGGTGCTCGAGAGTCCCCCATGTGTTCAGAAAAGGGTGTGGGGTTTTTAAGAGCTTTAAAAAGAGAGCAAATGATGGCTGGTATGATAGGGTCAGGGTTCTGGCAGTGCAGGGTATGGTCAGAACAAGGCATAGGAATAGCCAGTGGGGTAAGTGGCCAATGGTGCCTTGCAAGACACCACCACCATGCTAGTCTTTTTTTTGTTTTTTAATGATTATATATAATTATTAATTAATTTTAATGTTAATAAATAGTATTTGAAAACGAGATTTAATCTACTAAACTCGGATAAAATTTGGTGTCTACAGTTGCCCTTCTTTGCACATTGCTAAGAATCAAAAATAGAACAAAGACAAAGACATCAATTTTGTCCAGAATAACAATTCAAAATTTTTTATCAAAAGTTTTTTTGTTTTTGGATTGAATCACAAGTTGTGCCTTTGAATGCTCCTTCTAATCAAAGGCAATGAAACTTTAAAAATTTAAAAATCTTTTGCTCGGAGGTCTTGAAAGTTGTGCTCGAAGGTCTTACAAATTTTAAAATCTTTGAATGCTCTTTCTAATTAGAAGCAATGAAACTTTGAAAATTGAAAAATATTTTGCCCAGAGGTCTTCAAAGTTATGCCCAGAGGTCTTAGAAATTATGCCCAAATGTCTTAAAAATTATAAAATTTTTGAATGCTCCTTACACATTTGAGCCATTGAAACTTTGAAAATTTAAAAATCTTTTGCCTAGAGGTCTTGAAAATTATGCCTAAAGGTCTTAGAAATTATATCCAAAGGTCTTATAAATCTTAAAATCTTTGAATGCTCATCTAATCAAAAGCATAGACACTTTGAAAATTTAAAAATCTTTTGCCTGAAGGTCTTGAAAGTTATGGTCGGAGGTCTTAGAGATTATACATGTAGGTTTTACAAATCTCAAAATTAAAACAGATTCAGCTCAGAATACTTACGAATCATGCCCAAAAAACTTAGAGATTATGCCCGAAGGTTTTATAAATCTCAAAACTAAAATAGATTTAGCTCAAACGACCTACAAGTCTTGCTTGGAGGTCTTACAAATTTCAAAATCTTTTGAATGTTCCTTGTAATAGAGGTGTTAAAACTTTAAAAAATTTTATATGTTTTTGAAAACAGTTTTCCCTTGACCAAATATTTTTGAGACTCTAAAGGTCTTGTTTGAAAATGGTTCCTCCTAAATAAAGGCTTTAAAATTTTGTTTGAAAATGGTTCCCCTTAAATATAGGCTTTGAAACTTTAAAATCATGTTTTTCATTTCTCTCTCTTTCTTTTTTATTTTTTCCTTTTTTGCTAATATTGATAAATGCAATCATGATACAAATGTTTATTCTCATCAAATGATGCCAATGTAAATGTCAATATGAATGCAAATGTTGATGCAAATGCAAGAATGCGAATGCTTGATGAAAATACAATTAACTTTTTCACAATGCAAATGGCAATGTTCTTTTCATATAAATGCCCCTACAAATACCTTTTCTTAGGATACAGATGCCATAATACAAATGTAAATTTTTCTTATGGTGTGAATGCAAATGTCTTATACAAGTGCAAATGCAAATGTCTTTCTCGTGATACAAATGCAAGCAATGCAAATACAAATGTCCCTTTTATGATGCATAGGCAAGTGACGCAATTACGAATATCTCTCTTTTCTTTTCTTTTTTTAATTTGTAGGTCAAATATCTTTTTCATGATGCAAACAATGCAAATGCAAAAACTTTTTTTGCCTTTTTTTTTCAAAAGATCTCTATTCAAATTTTTAATGTTTCATTTTCACAAAAAAAATGATCTCAGTATTATGTACAAATTGCTCAAATAATCTTTAAATTTTTCAAAAGTGATCAAAAAATTATCCCGCATAAAATATCTTTGCAATCAATGAAAAAAATTTAAAACTCAAACTTTCGAATCTCTTGAAAATTGATGACTACTATTTGAAAAGCTTATGGGTAGGCTAATTGACATATTTCATTGGTGGGTATATCTCATGGAAAGCTCAATAAGGATTGCAAGGATTTCTTTTGGGCTCACGAAATAGATAATTTTCTAAAACACTTTTCTTTTATTGAAAATATGATACTTTAATATATGTCAAAAC